AAGAAATGAGTGTCACGAGAACGAGTGTCACGAGAACGAGCGTCACGATACATGTCATGAGCTAATATCTTACATTTATAAATACCGAGGTGAATTTAACCGTCTATTCGAAATAGAACGATAGGTATATACAGTGGATCGCAAAACGGTTTAGACATAATGAATTTCAGAAATTGATAATCCAATAAGAGAATTTATTTTTGACATTATTCTCTTATTGAACCATTGGCATCACTCTGAAGTTTATTGTGTCTAACAATCGTTTTGCGAGCTACCGTACGTAATCTTTTATATATATGATAATTTTTATTTATACGATAAAGATAAAAACAATATTTTTACGTATTGGAAAATGATATTTTCTATTCTCTAACACACAACTATAGTTTTCTTATATTTTAATATTTTCCAAAAAGAGTTAAGAAATTGCGCATTCACTGAAAAAAATGTTGAAAAAATGCACTTGTAACTATATAGTATATAGAGAAATAATTACTATAATTATAAGTTTAAGAAAATTATTATTAATTAATAATTTTCTTGAATTTATTATTATTTAATTAATTTTTCTGCTATAATGTCAGTGATGATAATCTTGTGTGCGTGTTACTAGCACCATTTTCGTATTATAATAATCGAAAAATATAGCTGGGGTCGAAAGTAACCATAATTTTAATTCAACCATTTTTTTCTCTCAATGTTGTAAGTTTGGGAGTATCGCTTTGATAAAAGTAGAGTTTTACACCGTAAATGTGAGTATTGCTTTGGTAAAAATAAAGCTTAGTCGTTTTTTTGTGACGTTTTTCTTTGTGTAGTCGGATAAACGATGCGAAAGTTGCATTCAACCTGTATCGATGTTGCAACATTGCCGAACGGAACGGCGTCGCATTTTCCACGAGACGGAATTTCCATTTTCAGCCATGGAATCACGTGGAAAGTTGCTGCCGGCCGACGTTCCCTTGCAATAATCCAAGTATTTTAAGTCCAACTTGACGGGACAAAGTTAAAATTCCAATCTGCGAGCGGAAGACGCGCGGGATACGTCCTTGCGAGAGAGCAGCACGTACCCGGAAAACTTCCTCGGGGCGCAGTGACTGCGAATTACGTAATATTCGTCAAAATGTTACCGAGGTAAAAGCTGTTTTCGCTGGATGCGGTCGTTACAAGAGCGGACGCACAGTGCGAAAATCCGTGTCTGGGCCGCTGGGAATATTCGACATTACCCGATAATGTATGTATCGTCGGGAACGCATTACTGCCGGCTTCCTGGAGTACCCGTTAAACTACATCCGAACGTAGAAGAGCAACGTATCCCTTCCGCGGGGAATCGCCGTTTATTAATCACGACATGAAATGAATGAAAAGCCAGTTCGATGAGCAAGGCGCATTACCGCGTACTTATGAAAATTAAGTTCCCCCTCTATACAGGGTGTCCTCCGCAATTTTTGTGGGAACGTAGAATGGCTTGGTGAACATAAAAGTCCTATACCGTTTTGCGATATGCGCAATAATAGTCGACATATTAATTAAAGAAGATTAGTGAATGATACGCGATATGGTAAATGAGCTGCGATGTGTGCTATTGTATGCTTGTATATTAAGTTAAATTGAACAAAAAAGCCCTTTATCATTTTGCAAATAATCACGTAGATTTTTAGTTATTAATGAAAGAAAATCGTTACACAATTGTGCGTGGTAATGCACAAATCTTCTGTAACTAATATCTAAAAATCTATATAGTTATTTGCAAAATAGTAGAAGAAATTTTGTTCAACTAACAGTAAGAATTGAAGAGGCAAATAAGGAGTACAGCACAGATGTCTTAGTGCTATTAAATACTAATATTAATATATTTTATATAATATTAATATGATAGTGGGAGGATAATTATGTCCAGCATGTCAAACGCACGTATCGAAATTTTTCTTCGATTAACGTACGCGGCGAATCTACCTTTCATACTTATACCGATCCTTGAGTCCCAATTTTATATATATATATATATATATATATATATATATATATATATATATATATATATAAAATTGGGACTCAAGGATCGGTCTAAGTATGAAAGGTAGATTCGCCGCGTACGTTAATCGAAGAAAAATTTCGATACGTGCGTTTGACATGCTGGACTTATCCTCCCACTATCATATTAATATTATATAAAAGTAATATTAGTATTTAATAGCACTAAGACATCCGTGCTGTACTCCTTATTTGCCTCTTCAATTCTTACTGTTAGTTATTCTAAAAAGGAGCTTTCTATAATTTCTGTTTAAATTTTATTCAGTTTACCTAATGTATACGACGGCAGACGACGCCACTACAGCTCATTTATCGCGCGTGATCATTCACTAGTCTTCTTTAATTAATATCTCGAGATTTATCGCAAAATGGTATGGTATGGATATTTTATGTTCACTTCAATCCGTTTCCACAAAAATTTCAGAGAAAAGTCTGGGCCACCCTGTATATACATCTCTCTCTCTTTCTCTCTATCTTTCTCTTTTATAAGTCCTTATTTTCTCCAGCATCGAGAAAGCAAGTCCGTGCGTAATATTAAATCGCGTCGCTCATATCGGTTAAACTTCCGAGTCCACGAGCTCAAAAATGTCGGATACAAACGATATCGACTTTTACCGTCGTGTCTCTTAAAATATGAAAGGCAAGCTCAATGTAGGTCAGTGCATTCATCTAACATCTACAGTTCTGCCACTACGTCAAGGCGCAACGAAAATATCCAGCGTTTCATTCAAGACTCGGAGATTGTGGAACGAGGTATCTTTGAACGTCGTAGAGATGAACGAATAATGCCCGGTGTTTTAAATCTCTAATCGCCGTCTGTCGCACGCGAGTCATCTCCAAATGATCTCATTTCCTCGTGCTTCCTGTCTTGTTCGACGACATTCGACCCGGAAACGAGAATAACGACCGTTGCTCTACCTTCTGGGTACGCGTCAACGTTCCGCAAAGTTTCGTCGTACTCGCGCTTAGACTCGGGTGGAAATAGCCGGTCGGTCACGTCGAACGTCGACCAACTTGGCTGGCCGATACGCCGAGCTGGCTCGAGTCGCGATAGTTAGGTACCTGAGGGGCCCGGCATTATCGATAATCTCGAATCAGAGCTACAACTTCCTACCGGCGCACTGGTCGGGCCGAGCGAGCGTGCCGCGTGCGCTCTCCGAGATGCCGGCGTTGTCTCTCCGGCGTCGTGACACGCGGCCCTAATTAATTTCACGTAGTTCATTAACAACCTCCGGTTGGCAGTGCTTAACGACGTTTTGGCGTCTCCGTGTATCGGGGGCCGCAATATTCCCCGAGCGAGCGAAAACTCCGTTCTCTCCGCTCACTGATTAGCGGTGTGCAAATGATTGCGGATGCCGCGCAAGGTGCCTCCGCGTGTCACCGCGGCCGATGAAACGAACGCGGTACGACGTCTCCCGACTGTGAGCGTAAGTTCAGATCTACAATTTGCTGCTTGCTTCCTGCTCCCTTTTCTCTAGCTCTCTTTCTGACTTGAAGCCTTAAAGCCTTGATTTATAATGTGTTATTTGCTTCCTGTTACTTTTTCTTTATCTCTTTCTGACTCAAACCTTAAACCTTAAACTAAAAAAAGACAGAAAACAAGAAACAGGAAGCAAAGAACATATTGATAGATGAAGCTTTAAGCCCGAAAAGGATGGAGAAACAAGAAACAAGATGCAAAGAACGCATTGTACATCAGGCAGGGAGAATTTTCGCATCTCGGCGGAAAAGCCGAAAACAGAAGGGCCGATCAGAACTCGCGCTGTCAGAAAAGTAGAAACTTGTCGGCTACCACAGCGCGAGTTCTGATTCGTTTCTGCCTTTCTGTTCTCTGTTTGTCTGCCAAGACGTGAATTCTCCCTTAGACGATAGTGCTTGTCCGGGATGACGATCGAGGGAAGCGTATATACGTGGCAAAAAAAAGAGTTGCATTCCTCGTAGAGCGAGACTTTTCCCTTCTCTCATCGAGTTCGCGACTGTAAAAACGAAACGTCCGCGGGATCTCTTCGAGATCGACTCGAAATGATCGAGTTCGGTGGTTTGCTTCCTAGCTCCGAGACCGATCGGTCTCGGTTGGCCCGAGGTAATTGGCACTGACCCCCTTCCCCCTCCCCTCCGATGGCCGATCGTATTTCGTTGCAGCGACATTCGCCTCGATTCACGACACTCCGAGAGGATCTAAAGACACCCTCTGCCCCCATTACCGAGTAAACTCCGGTGCTCTTTGAAACAAAATCCAGTTTCGAAGTAGCATAGAAGTGGATAAGAAGCCCGTTCCGAGGAGTATCGACGTGGCGTGCTTTGAAATCAAATGCCACGTCGAAATGACCGAGCGACCGAGCGCGAGCTCGCGATTCCTCTCCTTCTCTTCTTCATTTCCTCCCTCGCTCCGCCACGATGAGCAGAAAACAAACGAAAGCGCGAAACGGAATTCGCGCTGCTTAGAAGGGATTCTCGCCACGTCGGCGGGACCCGGAGCACTTCCGGCGTCGCCGCTCCGGTCGCGCGCGAGCCGGTCGACGACGAATTCCCGACAGATGTTACCACGATTGCTTACGCTCCGCCCGACTTAATATAACCGAAATTAACCACGGCAAGCGCCGTCGAATCAGCTTTTCCTCGGTCTTTTTTCCCCACGTCGCTCGCCACCTTGCGCCATGGAATTATACCGCGCGTTCGAAAGCCCCCTCCCCTCTCCTCCCCTTCCCCCGAGACAGCCGTGCGCGACGCGCGAAATTATTATTTTTTAAATTACACTCGTCCGGCCCGAACTCTCTTTCCGTGGCGAGGCAAGGCGGCTGGAACTGCGCGCGCGCGTGTTGCAGCGTAATTCCATTAATTCTTTCAATACGCGCCCCATCGTTTTCTTTCAGAGGGACGCTTTAATTGCGCCCGTGCTTAGTCGGGTGTTTAAAATGCGAGCACGTCGCGAGATCACAACGGGAGCGGATGGATGCGTGAACGATAGAGAAACAGAGAGAGAGAATGAGAAAGAGAAATACAGAGAGAACGATACAAAGAGAAAGAGAGAGATAATAATTGACGGACGCGCTCGATATTTTTCATTGGTGATCAGCAATTTCGCCGAGCTAATGTTGTTAATCAACGAGATTTTCCCATTACATTAAGGTTGTTTCACAGCGTAATGTGCAATGTACGATAAATATCAGCGTTATAAAAGCGCGCGCATGTTTTCGCGACGCGCCAGATACGAGGGTGGGTTGTATAATTCTGATTGAAATCTTCGATGAATACAAAACCGTGGTGGCGACCCTTTCAACCCGCGACGCGCGATATTATGCCATTGTCGATACAATTCCACGAGCTGCCTCATCAACGATTTATGCTGTTGGTACTACTATTAACTATTAATATCGTAGCACGCGCGCCGCGCGTAACCGGTCTGCAAACAATCGGAAATATGGGGCGGCTAAGCGCGAGGAAAGGAAGATGAAATAATAATCAGTATTTATCGACATTCCCCCGATAACATTATGTATTCATGGAATTACGAAATTTGCCCTACACAACGGTTATGCGATTAGCATAATGATTAAAGCGCGAAGCGGCTAACAACTGGGGAAGACAGGGCGCAGCGCGGCGGTCCCCTCCCGTTTCACGTTTTGTGGAGCTCAAAGTACTGTAAACTGGAGTAGGTTAATGCGAGTAACAGAGAGTCCCTACCGCTGAGCGGCCGCATAAGAACAAGGCAGCGCGAATCGAACGCAATTAAATCCCCGAGTGCAAAAATAGAAATGGGAAACAAACTAACATGACGCGAGAGAGAAAGTACGGCCTGTAAGAGACTAATCGCGGTTCTTTCATGCGACTACCCAATAGAATAATTCTTGTTGTTTGAAATCAGTCAGACGCATGCACCAAATTATTCTCCGATCTTTGTATCAAATGTACGTGAAATCGACCTTTCTTTTTCAAGCTATCCTTTTAAATTCCAATTAAGAAGGTATTAAATTCCCATTTACTCATTCCCATATCGACTAACTATTGATTGACTTATTAATTGATTCAACTTTATGTTGCGAAAAATACTGCCTCGACCAAGAGTCAAATCTCTTCACATATCAGGCGGAACGCCGCACAATGGGGTCAAGCGAAATCTCACGTTTCAAAAAAAGTTACGGTCTTGAACTTTGAACTTTGAACCAATTTCAATATTTTTTTCTTTTTTTTTTTAATGAGAGCTAATGAAATGTGCAACTTTACTTTGCCGAATCAGATTTTTGTCTTTTCTTCTTCTCTTCTTCTACTAAATCAAATATGAAGAAGTTAGATTTCGAAATTTTTCGAGAATAAACTAATCTATCTCTAAATGACAGAAAACGCACAAAATGTCACTTGTAGATTCTAAAAAGGGATCTCTCGGCAAAGTCAGTAGGTTAAATAGGATTAGAAGAAATTAACACATAATATGATGTGATATTAGCGTTAAATGGAATATTGAGGTTGATGGTAAGATCAAAATCTCGGTGGCCTAATATATCTGTGCCACGTTTGAATCAACAACTCATGTCGTCGTCGTCGTCGTCGTCGTCGTGCGACCTGGGCGACTTTTCGTCAGAGGAGACAGGAGCTGCGAAACGCAGTTTCCCAAGAGATCGACACTCGGCTGCCACGTCGCTAGGTTCCTTGACAGAATACAACAACTAGGACTTCCGGTTGAGCGAAAGCGCAACCCGAAGTAGCGCGTGTGCTAATTCACTCCCGGTGTCGCCGCTGTCGCCTCTTCCTCCACCTCGCGTAAGCGCCGCGACTTAACTGTTTGAATTTGCTATTTGCATCCGCACGGCAAATAAAAAGTTCCGCGAGCGGGATGTATAGCGATGACAGATGAAACGGGACAGAATAGAGCAGACGGTGTCTCTCAAATACGCGAAAGCGCGGTGACGTAGATGACGAACGGCGTAACGTTTCGGCTCATACGACGTTCATCTTGTCGAGCTGGGCGCTCTTGTAAGCTCGACACATGAGCGACTTGTCGATTTACAGACGCGGCGTCGCAAAGTCGCCCTTTCTCGCGCGACTTGCCATACGTGCGAGCGAGCGAATAACAGATAAAAGGAGAGAGAAGGGGGAAGCAAGAGAGGAAATAATTTGACGATTTACCGGATGATTCGCAGGAGGAGAGATCGGAAAATCGAACCGTCAGCACAGTGGAGTTCGAGCCGGGCGTGGAGGATCATGGGAAATCTATCACCTGCCGAGCGGAGAATCCAAACGTGACCGGACTCTTCGTCGAGAAGTCTTGGAAGATCGACGTCGTGTGTGAGTACACGTTACATTTTTCCTTAACGTTCCAATTTCTCGCGGACCGTAAACTCGCTCGCGGCCGACAGATCGCGAAACTGATCGCGGCAAATCGAACACGGCAACATGACGAATGGCGGCCACATTATGCTGTTTATCGATTTCAACTTTCCTCCGCGCTCCCCCTCTCCCGCCGCTCTTCGACTTTATTTGCGCGCGCGTGTCATAAAAAGGAAAAGAAAAATAAGAAATTGCCCGGCAGCCACCGTTTTCCATCTCATCTTCATTCGGGTCCCGAATCGGCCAATTTTACGAGCCTCTTCATTCCGCGCGCCGCGACGCGTCACCTCTCATCCCGCGTTCACGCATCGTTCCCTTTTTATCTCGCACATTTCCCTCCTTCTCGCCCCCTTCCTCCTTTCTTTTTTACAGTGTCAATAAAAAGATCTTGGCGAGATTTCCCATAAATTACAACCGAAATATTCGTCGGGACCGCCGATGATCCCCGCGTGCGTCCGCTCTGCCAGAATTCTCAATCTGGATCCCCATAAAGAGAAGGTGAGCACACCTGCGCGAAAAGAGTGGAAGAGACGCGCCTTACTCGGTTACCAAGGATGGCGAAATGATACTTTTGACCAAAGATAGCTATAAGTCGTGCATAAATCAAGTTTTATTTTAAATCAGTGCGCTTACATAGTTATATTTGAATGCGCCATTTTTGATCGGTTCCGAATGCCGTTCTATTTCATGCTCTTTTCATCTATTCCCGTATCGCTTCGAGCGGACGCAGCTGCGACTCCGCAAAATCGCGCGATCCCGGTTAAGCTTCCCTCGACTCTCCGTAGATCCGCAATTCTACAAACCCACGAGGGAGAAAGAGAGAGAAGGAGAGTCGCTAAACGCGCGTCTCTCATCTCGAGACGGATTATTATGCTCAAAGTGAAGGCGCCTCATTTCCATGGGACGTCTGCTCTTCTCTCTTTTTTTCCTCCCGTCATTTATTACGACAGGCATAACCGCAGCGTAGGAATGTTATACGTAACCGGCGCGACATCGCGCGCACGTCACGAGCTGGTTTACCAGGCGCCCGTGAAATTTATTATCGCGTAACTACCCTCATCCGGCCTCGTAAACTTTACGTTCGACCTGTCGAGAGTTATGGCACGCTTCTCGGCGCATATTAAAACGAAAGGAGACAACAGTCGTCAGGTGGAAAGAGAGGCTCGAACAACCATGACCGACCCACATCCGTCCTCGCAGCCGGGAACGCGTCTCTCTTCCAGATGAACTGCGTTCGCGATATCGTGCGAAACGCGAGAGGGAAAATCTTTGACGCGCGTGCCAACGTCTGTATATTTCATATAGTCCGACGGCGCGGAAAATGATCGCGGCCGAGTTGCAGTGCGCGTATATCTCGCGCTGCTATCTCGCGTTATTATTACTACACGCCGCTTAGAGCTAAAACCGGCGGCGGCGGTACCGCGCGACCGATTGCGATAACGCTTAGACAATGATTATAAATTTTGTACAAGTCGTAAAGGCTAGACGCCCGTCGACCATGATTACCCACGTGCCGTACGCGCGGGTGGGAAGAAATAATAATGACGCTTTTATCGCCACGCGACCATTATCGCGCGGGCGTAAGGCGGATTTTACACGGACGGATCTCTCAAGTCGCGCGCGGACAAACCTAGTCACGAGCTTCCGCGCGCCTTCTCTTTCGCGATAAAATAGTTCAAGGCAGTTCGGTCAGCGTCCGCGCGGCTCGTAATCCCCCAAAGTTTTCCGTGTCGAGGCGCCTTTAATCTACGACTCCAACCGGCTCTCTCGCGATGTCTGATGCCGCCACTGAGTAATAATGGCCGCGAACAGCGAAATCCGAGCTATTATTATCTATCGGGAAGATAACAAAACGGAGATAGGCGGAATTCGCTGAGGTAACGTGTGTGTGGATGATACGATCTATTCCTGAAGAAAAATAATTTAATTTATTTCCTAATTCTATTTTTTATTTAGCTCTCTTTGCTATTCGAATAATAATATTTCTCAATTCTAAATCCAAACCACTGAGTAAGTAAGTTTTCGGTCTCGAGATTAATTTCCTAAAGTAGCTCGAAAAGTCGTTCAATGATAACGGCACGCTAGATCGACCGTTTCTCGATAGCAGCGGCAGACCCGTGACGTAAATCCACGAGCGCCGACACAGATAAGCTCGATAGAGTAAAAAGCATCTTTACGATGCGCGAGGCGTCGTATATTACTGCACGTTCATTTTAATTGTACGACACGTATAAATAACGGTGGGAGAAAGAGAGCGCGACGTGAACAGAGGATCGCGCGCACCGGTCAGATATTTTTTCAATTTTGCGGAGGCGTGCCGTTACTTCGGCGGCGATAAATTCCTCGATTCCGTACGGTTTATCGTTCGTTCTCATCTGTCCGGTTGCGTCCGTTGCACCTGCACATCTGGCAAAAATATAGCGGCAATGGCAAACAGGAAATACATAAGGAGTGCGCGCACGCGGCGGAATTCGCGAAACGAGAAAAACTGCAGAATACGGGAAATGATGTCACGTCACGTATTCGATTACGCTGACCGTTCTGCGCACTACCGCTCGAAATTACACCACTTCGAAAGACCGTATCCGCAGTTTGTATCGGGAACCTCGTCTTTGCCGTCACCGACGTCCTCGACGGCGGCGCGATTTGCGAGACAACGAGAGAAAAAATTGAATGGAGCAATAGAAATGTGTCACGATGTCATATTAAGCGAAGCAAAAAAGCGAGAAAAATCTCTCTATTCATATCGTAAAATACGTAACATTTCTCTTTTTCTCTCTCCCCCTCCACTCTTCCCCACTCTTTCTCTCAGAGCACTGAGACACACATCCTAAGAAGATTTCAATATTTTATGCTTGCAGATCCGCCGATAGTATCGTTAAACCTCGGATCGACCTTAAGCCCAGAGGACATCAAGGAAGGGGATGACGTGTACTTCGAGTGTCATATTAGGGCCAATCCACCTTGGTCTAAGCTCATCTGGATACACGACGTAAGAATAAATGCGCACTCATGCACACAAGCCGCAAACTCGACGCTTCCTTTTCTTTTTACGACGCCGCGGTGACAGCAAAAAATACGTATGACTACGTAAAAATCTACGCAACGGGGAATCCGCGGGTGTGTAAAGAGACTCTTTCAACGATAACTTTGTCGATACGCGTGACACTTTTGCCTCGAGTAATACCTCATACATCAAACACCGAGTAGAACTTTAAATCCTTTATTTGCATAATATATGAGCCGCCGCGCTATACGCCGCGATCAATCTCGCTCGACGATATCGACGTGAAGCACCGACGCGACGTCGTCATTCTCGGTGACGAAAGCGCGCAACGAGGATCTTCCTCTATCTGTACGTCACGGATTATTCACCAATACGGGAAATCCGACACGAACGATAATCACGAACGAGAATTTTGACGATTTATTCCTATTTTAATTGCATCGATACTGATTAATTTCTCCTCGTAGTTTTTTTCCAATGGTATTTAATTACAATCAATGTTAAAATATTAAAAATATACAATTTTGTGGTAGAGGTTAGAAATAAACGATTAGCTGATTGTCAGAATACGTCAACTTATCAGTTACAATGATGACCCAAAAATTACCTCTGGACAACGTTACTGAAACAAAGCTATGACATCCCAGACGGCACAAATGTCCAAAATCGAGTCATAAGACGTCTTTAAGGCAACTTTAAGACAATACTTTATAAACTTGTCTTAAAGACAACTTAAAAACATCTTAAAGACGTCTTATGTCCCACTTTTAGACATTGTGCTGTCTGGGATATTATTCGCCCTATATCAAAATTTTGTGGCAGGTGCTAAAATTAATCGACCAGCAATCAAAATACATCAGTTGACGAGTACGATCATTGAAAAAAAAAATTAATTACAGATATCCTAAAAATTAGCGTGTCTCGACAATGTCATTACTGAAACAAAGCTATGTCATATTCGCGCTATATCGAGAGGAATTGAGCGAAATTTCGTAATTTTGCATTCGTCATTGTTACACGTACTTGGACCGTTACACGGTTTAGGGCGCGAAAATGTGCAACAAGCATAAAACGCGTATCAAAGCGTAAGTAATGTTAGTTAGTCCCGGCTCATACGAGGTAGTTGCCTCGGGAGACTGCTGTGCCTGCTCGCCCGCTTATTCTAGACGGTACTACTTGAATTTCGGAACGCCACCGTCGCCGTCGTGCATTGTGTATACACTTACCGCGCGCTGCAATTGCAACGGAGTCGGAAGTTAAAGGAACGCTCCCAAGGCGTATTCGAGACTATCAGCGACAAACTTTGTTGGCCTGTGTATCGGTGGCAGCCACGGACGCGCACTTCCTGAATTCTAATCGTCCCGATCACCGGTTACCGGCTTCAGAATCGCGCGTACACGTGCACGACACGACGACGACGAGGACGACGAAGAAGACGAGCAAGACGACGACGACGCGCGATTACGAATAGCCGTGCATTAATTTCCGACGTCGGGACCATCCGATAACTTCCGTTAACGACGCGAGAACAATCCGCGGCAGACACCCGAGAAACTAATAATCGCGATTAAAGTCTCAAAATATATATAACCAGCAATTTTCTGTTCAAAGGAAATTGATTTATATATGCATAAATTAGAATATCTGTTTATGTTCCTTATAAACTTCTAAATCCTTTGACCGATCTGGGGAGCGATCCCAATTTGTGATAACTTAAATTTAGATGTTCTAGATACAAGAAGCCCAGGCAATATGCCGGGTAGGTTAAGCGAGCAATCGTTAAATTTGAGTAACTACATGCTACATGGTAGTCACGTGAAATATATCGCGAGTAGTTTCATTTATTACTGTTCGAGTGTTCGCGAAGAGAACACGTGAGGAGAAATTGTACTTTACATTATCGTCGACTCGCATTTCTTAATTCCTTCCTTTGCCATACAGAAAACCACATTCAACGATATTCGACGAATTTTTTCTGTTTTTACAGCGAACAGCGGTCGACCGTAATTTTGTTTACGCGGCGAGGAGTCGACTTAATTTCCAAGCTCTCTCTCTCTCTCTCTCTCTCCCCCTCCCTCTCTCTTTCTCTGCGGCACGTCTCTCTAGTTAGATTCTAATAACAAATTAATCCGACAGTTATAATGTCTGTCAGGAGGTATGCGGTACATATGCTGTAATTATATTACCATCGGTTACGCCGGCCGAGGGAATCTCGTAGGAGCGCCGCGCGCGATGCATTAGCTTCCACCCCGGTCTTTTCCGGGATCAGCCGCGGCCTCATATCCCTACCGTGTTCCGTCGCTCACTTTAACCTCGACTCATACCTCGCTTCCCTTCTCTCTACATCTTTTCGTTTCGTCGCACGACGACCTTTCGCCGGATATACGTCGCGAAGGGCTGCAGCAAACGGGCTAACGGTGGGCGAGAGAGTAGCAGCTGCTACCGCGTAAGAGATTTCCCTCGAAATTGCATCTTAAAAATATGATCCGACTTCATTCCGGAGTGGGAGCGGGAAGCGGCTCGACTATCACGGTGTCACTCTCTCTCTTTCTCTCTCCCTCCTTCCCTCCCCGTTCCTTCCACCCCTTCAACGTACATCCGCGAGTTCCTCCTCACGCTTGCGGATTGCCCTCTAGCAGCATCGAGCCGCTCAGGGGCGAAGCGATCTGCTTCCGGTCCACTAAACTCCCCTCAGTCTTTGTATGTGCCTTTAAACGTCGAACGGATTACTAGACTCGATTCGATTCGCGCTATTCATCGTAAAATGGGAATTCGAGGCTACGCGCGGCCACCTCAGCCGGACCTCGGTTAATCCGGCTGTGATTCTTTTGATGATTATCGAACTGCTGCGATTGAAGTTGAATGAGATGACGTGTGAGCGTCGCGGTTGATTTGTAAGAACGATAAGCTGATAATAAAATAGCAGAATATACCCTCATTTGTTAATGTTCGTAAACTGCGTGATCGCGAACGTTCGCTCCCTTCAAATTCACGAGATTGAGAAACGCCCCTCGGAGTGTAAATATAGCGCGAGTCGAGCATGTTAGCGAGTTTTCTATAACCAGGGGAACGTCGTCGATCTCTCCATAATGCCCTATTTCCATTTATTCCCTGTTACTCGTCGGTTTTCCGAATCTCTCCCGAACGCGCTCACCTTTAAGCATGTCATTGGGGTGGATTTTCACGTCCGCGCTCGGTACACCAGAGGAACGTTTCATTCGGCAGCGCTGGTCCCTTTCACTCATCCGGAAAGGTTTGCCTAGGAATTACAAGGGCCGTTGGCACGTACTATCTGCCAATCAATCCCGAGCTAGCAATCGGGCTGGGGATCCGGCACCATCGGGTCTTAGAAAAGCGTTTCGAGCTGCCCCTAGCAGCAGTAACCTTTTGAGTGGCAATCGTAAAGAGGAAGAAAGAATCATGAACGGCGAGAAGGCGGTACGAAGGGTGAGAAGAAGCGGGAACTGCTGGAGGTGGAGAAGCAGGAGAATAGGGTAGGAAGGAAACGATGCGCAAGCGAGGGACCGAGAGAGAAATTAGAAAGTGAAAAAGAAACGGGAATAACAGCGAGAAGAATAAGGGGGAAAAGGAGGAAGAAATCGAGAAGGCGAAAAAAGAAATGTAAGGTGGCCGACATAATGGAGTGCAGTGATTAAGTCGGTTCTATCATTCACGGGGACAATAGAGAAGTTCTGTAGCTACCTGCAGCATCGACGAGCCAATCGGCCGGCCGGTTTAGACGCGGAGAAAGAGAGAGACGCGCGCGCGCGTCACACACACACACACACACACACACAGAGAGAGAGAGAGTCCCTGAAAGGATTCCCTCAACTCTTCATCTTTTCGCGCAAAGTGGATTGACCGAACGTACTGCCGGCAGAGGATCCCATTAATACTGTTGTCCTCGCGGGCACACGGCGGAAAAATCGAAAATTTCTTTCGTACACGTTCGTAAGTTCACCTGTACGCATGTCTTTTCTCGAATTCACCTCGTACAAAAGGTACTCTCAGTCGCGGCGATACTGTAGCAGTGCTTGCTCAATGTCAAGCGGACTTGATTGAAACGGAATTTTGTCTGAAGCTCTCAGTTACGAGGATATCGAACGTTCAAGTTCGGCAAGCTCTGACAAACGACGCGGCTCCCACTTAGGCAATTTTATTAGGGATGAGCGCGGAGTCTCGCGAGGATCGGTGTCTTATCCGCCGCAGGGCGGAACAGTCTGCGGAAGGAGACGGTCGAGAGAAGCTAAGAGAAACTCGTGCTCGAAAGGGACAAATTAATAATGCGAGTTTGCGCCGTAGTTTGCACACGCGAACAACAACGCGCGCGCGTCTCGGGCGCTTCGAATACCGGCGAGTGTAGTCGCGCGTTAACATTAGCGCGAAAACGGTGATATCGATCAAACGCGGGATTCCACGTTCGCCTCGCGCCACCCCTGCCGTGTCTGATGTAGTCATATCGACGTTGCGGCTTTTGTACATCGATCGAATCGCGCACGGGCGCACCGGGAATAACGGCTTTCTCGCTACGAATCGACCGAATGCATTTCCTACTCACGCGAGATTCGGCCCGACAAGTTCGGGTCTTAATGTGGCACGAGGTGCGAGATCGCGCGGAGGAGTCGAGAGCTGTGTGCGGGGGTGAGGGTGACGGTGGGTTGCCGAGGAAGTAGTAGATGCTCTAGCGTCGAGAATTCGGCGGGCCGTACATCAATCAATTTCACTACCATCGCGATCGGGACGTGTTGGAATTCCAGTTAAGGGCGACTTTCCGAGGTGGGACACGAGGAGAGAGAAAGAAAGAGAAAACGAGCGAGAGAGCGAGTTCGTTCCCTACGATTTCGATCTCGCAATTTTTCGTTAAGAGATAAGACGAGCCCGGGACGAGGGAAGGAAAGGGCGAAATCGAGAACGATATCCAATCGCGTAGTCACCCAAAGTCTCTGCCCGGCACTTCTAAAAAGAGCCCGATAGTGGGCGAACTT